ATGCATCCGTAAAGAGTGGAATAGGTTCTAATAGCCAAGCAAACGATTCAAAATCAATAACACTTGCAGGAAGTGGTTTAAAAACTAAACGATCAGGAGACTCTTTTGGCGGTTCAATGATTGCTGTATTCATCAAAAGTGTGAACGAACAATCGTCACCCAGTATTATACTAATTGACCATTTAGGAAGATCCCATAAAACATTGCAAAATTCTATTTGTTTTGCACATTTTTCATTAGCATTACACAAGAAAATAAGCGATTTTGTAAAATTAATATTTCCATAAACATATGCTTCCACTTTCTCATCCAATAACTTTGCAGTAGGAATAGGATTTCTCATTAATATATCTTCAAATTTAAAAAGAATGTCATGCAATCGTTTAGTATGATGATATTTAGGATAATGTTCTAATCCATATTCATCCAACATAGTATCATAGTCGTAAGATGTTGTATGACGTGGGCCACCACCCCAACGGCCAAAAGTCGTGCCACCATGATACATGTAATATGCATGATAACAACCACCTTTAGCAAACCAATATGCCACAGCATAAGTTACATCTTGAGCAGGACGAGTTGGTTTAGCTTCACCGAATTCTTGTGGCCAACCAGGCCAATCTTCAGTCCACATCATTGGAGCAGAAGGAAATTCTTTGCGAATATTCTCAAAATATTGATGACAATAGTAATCATTCACAGTATGAATTATACCTGGAACATGACTATATTGACGACACATAAACCATAATGCTGAAAGATTCATATCATTTACGAAACGACCACATTCTTCAGCATACTTTATGCCATCTTCACCATAAACATGACCTATGTTACCATATTCATTTTCAATTTGTAATAAGATAATTGGACCGGCTTTGTCAGGAAAGTAAGGATGTACAACATCAACAACTTTACTAACAAATCGTTTCATTTCTTGTAAATAAATTTCATTATATGTACGTAATTCTACACCTGGTAAATGTTTCAGCCAAACAGGAAACCCACCAAAATTCCATTCAGCACAGACGTAAGGACCAATTCGTAAAGATACATATAGATCAAGCTCTTTACATAGTTGAATAAAATAAGGTAAATTGGCCGAATCTGTAGCAAAATCATAAGTTCCGCGTACCGGTTCATGTAAATTCCAAAAGACATAAGTTTGGATAACGTTTATTCCACCTGCTTTGGCTTTACGAAGTAATGAAGGCCACATTGCAGGAGTACTGCGTGGGTAATGAATACACCCAGCTAGTAATAATTTAGGCAACCCATTAATACAGATAGCTCGGGAAGTGTATGTTACTGTATAAGGATTTGAAAAAAGTGAAGACATTTTTTAAAAAAAGACGTTTTACGGTACGTACAGTACGTTTAAAAAACAATGCAACAATTGTCCAACTTTATCGTTGTCATACGTACATATAAAGATAAGATTTTCACAAAAAAATTAATATGGTGATACGATAATCGTAATATGTACTTTTCTATTTAAAGCTATATCGATATCGATATGATTAACGTTAAGGACATTTTAGTACAGTAACGGTAACTATTTTATATATCGGTATCATTGTCGTGCTTAAAGCAGGGGTCGTCTAAAGCCATGTACCCACGTGACCAATCCCGTAGATCAATAATCACAATGTGATTATTGAAAAGATATA